TTTTGCCCCAGCCGAGTTGAGTGAGTTGAAGATTCAACTCCAAGAATTGTTAGATAAGGGTTTCATCTGCTCTAGTACTTCGCTATGGGGAGCACCGGCTCTTTTTTCCAATAAGAAAGATAGTGCTTTACGACTTTGTATAGATTACCAGAAATTGAACCGGATAACTGTCAAGAACAAGTACCCAATGTCAGGGTACCATGATTTGTTTGATCAGTTGGAGGGTTCCCGTTGTTTCTCTAAGATAGATTTGAGATCGGGTTACCATCAGTTGAGAGTCAGGGAGGAGGATATTCCGAAGACGGCATTCCGTACGCGGTATGGCCACTATGAGTTTCTGGTGATGCCATTTGGGCTCACCAATGCACCGGCAGTGTTTATGGATTTGATGAACCGGATCTTCTGGGAATTCTTAGACCGTTTTGTAGTCGTCTTCGTGGACGACATTCTGATTTATTCACCGTCTGAGGAGGAGCACGAGGAACACTTGAGAGTGGTGCTTGAGTTACTTAGAGCCCATAGAATGTATGCCAAGTTTGGAAAGTGTGACTTCTGGCTAGAAGAGGTCAAGTTCTTAGGCCATGTGGTTTCCGGGGAAGGGGTGTCTGTTGATACATCCAAGATTGAGGCAGTGCAAGATTGGGCACAACCTAAGAGTGTTTTTAAGATCCGCAGTTTTCTGGGATTAGCTGGGTATTACCGCCGGTTTGTGAAAGATTTCTCCAGGCTAGCTTCACCGTTGACTAGATTGACGTGCAAAGGGGTCAAATTTGTATGGAGTGAGACTTGTGAAAAGTCATTCCAAGAGTTGAAAATTAGATTGACCACGGCTCCGGTTTTGATTATTCTGGAGAGAGGGTTGGGTCATGCGGTTTATTGTGATGCCTCACAAGAGGGTTTGGGTTGTGTTTTGATGCAAGAGGGGAAAGTTGTAACTCCCTCAAAATAAACGCATAACATCATACATTCACGATAAAGAAAAGAGATTTCATATTACAATCATCAGAGTATTCTTACAAAATGTATTACATGTTGGAAACAAAAGTAAATGCCCTATAGGCTTACAACTTTCCAAGTCAACTCTTGGTTACAAAAGGAGAGCACTAACTCTATACAAGATATGCCCTTGGCTTAATATACATGTAATACAACAAAACAACAAAAAGGTCTAACAGCCTCAAGCCTCCCAAGCTATGTCCTTAGAGGTGGCATAGAACCTACACCTGAAAATGATGTCCCATATACGGTGAGCCAACGCCCAGTAGAGACATGCTAAACATAATATGAGCAATAACTAAAACATGAGCATCTGATAAATGTTTAACTCACATAAATCAATTCATGATTCATTTCAATTACATGATAAATATGTCCATGTTTCATTCCATTTTCCATTTCTTATCCAGTTCTCAATTTATGAATAAGGCTCAGAACCTGGCCAATAATTTAATGAGACTATACTCATATCAACAATACTTCCATACGACACAATAGATACACATATTTGTTGTATCATCACTTCAATAGATACACATATTCGCTGTATCAACACTTCAATAGATATACATATTCGCTGTATCAATGGAGTCCATCCCCTATCTCCTCCCAAACAATATCCTGTTTAGGAGTCCATTCCCTATCTTCCCCTGAACCGTGGAGTACATCCCTTATCTCCTCCCACACAACACAATGTATATAAGCATAAATCATATACATAACCAATCAATACATAAATTTGATGTATTATTCCAACCATCATTTCAATGACATACTCAATTGATTAGTTTTAATTCACCTAATCATCATGCAATGTCTACAACAATCAAGACTATCCTCCACCGATAGCCCAAAGCAATTATTTCTAAACAGATAATAATTATATCAACAGATAATTTATCAACAATTTCCAAGGTGAGTGATTAATAATTCCAACTCCACCATTCTATCTCATAATGAGCCAATTACATTATTTCCAACTCATTTTCATATTTCCATAATAAATGTCATTAATTACACTAATGACCCAAATACACCCAAACATGGCATTTTCCCCATTTTTCTCAATATTGACCCAAAGGTCCAAATATTATCAATAACATCAATAATCTCTCTTTTAGACCCAAAACACATATCACTACTGGAATTTGGGAATTTAACGGCGTTTAATTAACGGCGTTTTATTAAACGTCAGCTTTTTTAAAAATTAACGGCGTTTTTTAAACGCCGCAATTGTTCTTAATTAAAATGGTACAGTTTTGTGACTAGAAGTCGTTTGAAAAGCGCCTCCGAATCCTGCCTCTCCTCAAACCCTAACCTGTCTCTCTAAACCTTTATTTTGATAACCCCATTTCTAGCACCGCCGTCTGCATATGAAGTTCGAATCTCTCCATCACTCTCTTTCTCTCTCTTTCTCGCAGAGGATCGAATCAATACGAAGTTCTCTCTCTCGATTCGGTGATTCTTCTTCTTGAGCACAGAGCGATTGCGATTTTGAAGTTCGATTTTGAGCACCGTGATTTGGAACTCTTCTTCAGATCCGTGATCTTCGTCTTCTTCGATCAGAGGTTAGATGTTCTTCTGTGCTCTGTTTGGAACTCTTCTTCTTAGACGTTTCTTCAGCTCTGTGAATCTCTTCTTTTATGCTCTGTTTCCACTTTTTGCTTAAATCATTATCTTCTTCGTTTCTAGTTTTACTTATTGTTCTGCTCAAATCACTATTAGGTAAATTTTCGATTTTTGATTTGTTAAAGTACAATGTTGATTTGGTTGTTGATTTTTGTTTGCGCAGAGAAGGATCGAGAATTGGGGGAAGCCTTAGAGAGAAGGCAGTTGAAGAGGTTCTGTTCTATATGTATTCTCTCTTCTATGTAATTGCTATTCTATGTATTTTTCTAATATAAATAAATGCTAGTCTCAATTCATCTAAATTGGTTAACTCTATATAACTTACTATTAGTCAGATTTGTGTTGTATATTTTTTTTGTTCTATGGAGCTCTATTGGGTTATGAATTCCAATTTGGTTTAATCAGTTGACAGTAGTGATGAAGACTGATATAGATGTAGTGTAGGCAATTGAGCTATCTAGAAATCTCATTATTGATTACTGATAAAATAATGATCAATTTGCTTCACAACTTTTGCTTCACAACTTTTGCTTCTAGTTTAGACTGTAATCAAATGCACGTCTTCTGAAAATATTTGCCAACAAAGTAAGAAGTAAAGAACTAATAGCATATTAGTGAGACTTCCTCATTTATAAGAGAAAAGTAAGTGTTATTTTCTCACATGTTAGTGGCTGAAAGCTGAAATAAATTGTTGGAACAGTTATATGGTGTCCAGGTGTCATATGCTATGATAGTATTATTAATCTAATGTCTACATGATCATATATAAATAATTAAAAAAAAGAAGCATTTATAGCAATCGCTTTTCTAGAGTTCATATTAGGCCTATTGAATTTCTTATTTCACTTATCTATCTTCATTTGAAACTAGTGGATGACATGTAAAGGGGCAGAACAGATGGATGGAGATTGGAAAGGGCTCCACTTGAAACTTGTAAACAAGATTTTATTGAATTACTATGTAAAATGTGATAGACCAACTAAGCTTTTGTAGGACAGCTAAGGCAGTTCATCTTTGATTGTTAAGGTATTTAGGCTTTGTGGTTTTGTTGAATCTTGTTGTTCTAGAAGATACCAAACATTTTTATGTTTTGTAGGATGATATGAAATGTGCAGAGGCATATGTGAAGTTCATGTGATAATTCTTGACTCTGAAGAACATGTCATCAATTAATAAACTATGTTCTTATGTGCATGCTTGTCTTGTGCTCTAGATTTCATTGTTAAGATAAATAAAATATGGGCTCACACTTCTTCCTGCACTTGATTTAGCAAAAGCTTAGTTAATGAAATCTGTTGTACCTCCTTTTGTTAAACTTGATCTAGATCTAAAGAAATTAGTTTTTATTTTTTTATTTCCAAGTTTAAAAACTCTTATTGATCACACATTGTCAGATTTGGATATTGGACTAGTGATAAGAGGGAATGGGTTGAACTATCAAGATCGGCCCCTTTATTGATCTTGTAGTTTGGGGCAAAACAGGTAAAGATTTTGACTACCACTTTGCTTTTATTTGTGTTCTCTTTATAGTGTTTTATCTAGATTTTTGTTATGTTTATACAAATATATTGTATTTTTTTTTCCATTAATGTTCTTCACAGTAATTGCTTTTGTTTTGATTGGAGTATAAGAGTCTTTAGTGAAGGTATGGTAAGTAAGATTCCTGACTTTGAGACTGTTAAGGATATTAGAGAGAAGCTTTGCTACATAAGGTTAGTGAATATCATCGTAGTTTGGTTTGCTTTTATGGAATGTGAGATTGTTCTATATTTCTCTCTGTTTTGCAACACCTCAAGAATTCATGTTTAGTATATTTTTATGACAGTTAGATTCAATGGTCAGTGTCTACTAATTTGATGAAGATGTTATGCTATACTTAATTTTCTCAAATGACAATTAGATTCAATGGTCAGTGTCCAAGTCTAATTTGATGAAGATGTTATGCTATACTTAATTTTCTCAAATTTTGTCCATGAAGTTTTGAGATTATTAGTTTCAATTGTTGGCAATTGTGGATGCTAAAGACTTAATTTTTATGTGGTTTTCATGCCTTTTTTAGGTTATCCTTTTGAAAGAAATCTGTGATCTATACTGTTGCTTTCCACTTGACAGTGCAAAGGCACAATTTATTCATGTCGTAGATTGTGAGGAAATTTCTGTTTAACTATCCCATTTTGTATAGCTCAATTTTAATGTTGGGTCCAACATTCCTGAAATTTTATTGCCCGGCCTAACATTCCTAGTCAATTTGTAGAGCATTTCTACTTGATTTAATGCTGGGCCAAAATTTCTTCATTACTTTGACAGTGGAAGCACTGGAAGCAGTGGCAGCAATAGAAGCAGGTATTATAATCTTTTTCTTTCATTTGTTATGTTTATTGCGTATTCTCGAATTGATTGAATTTTTTTAAGCAGTGAAAATAATCTTGAATAAAATCCATGATTTTGATTGAATTATTCTGTAAGGTAAGCTTCAAGGGTTGTTTGTCCCAAAAACTGGGGCAAGTCTTAGCATCTCTAGACTCAAAGTTCCTATAAAAAATACAGTTAAACAATGTATATTTGGTGTAAAAGAATTTGGGTGTTGCAGATGTTTGAAGACCATAACAAGTAGACACAGTTTCATGTTCTTTCTGTTCATGGACTTGATGACACTATTTGCTCTAAGCTTGAACATGAATTTGGAGCCTCCTCTGACTTGGGTTTCCACTTTCTCCATTTCCATCTTTCTGAGGAATTAGAGGGTGGTGGTGACTGGATATATCCACCTCCACCACCTCCTCCTCCTCATCCTCCATGTGTCCTTCAAATGAAGGTTGATCTTTCAACGGATAGGGATAGGGATAGGGATAGGGATTCCATTCCACAGATAGAAAGTGGGGGGTTAAAGGATTCACTCCTGCTCCTGTCTACTACTGCTGCTGCTGCTGCTGCTGCTGCAACCCCCACCAAAGAGGACTGCATTCCTTTCAACTTGGCTACCTCTTTCTTCTCTCTCATTTCTAGAATGAAATTAGGCCCCTTGGATGTCAATGTCAATGATGCTGAATTTGCTCCACAAAAGGACTTGAACGTCAAGCTGATCTCATAAATTTTGATACTACTGCTTTGATTGCTCTTATATCAGGAATCAGTAATGGCAGTACACAGAATATTCTGGCTAAATCCGAGAGCGAATTAAGGAAGCGCTTTAAGAGCAACTATGAGTTTGTGATTGCCCAGGTATATATTTTATATTTCAAGTGCATGCGCTGTGCCGTCCACATCATAATCTTAAGCATTGTTCTGTGTTTATTGTATGCATTAGATTAGTTATCTTTTTTGCCAATTCTATGTGCAATGAACATCTAAAGCCAATCAAGAAGGTTTATTCTTTCCAATTTTGGCTACTTGTATTTCAAGCATCTCCTTGAATATAGCTAGCTATGAGACCTAGGATAGTTTTGAGTGGATATTTTTTTCCCCCTCCATGTTAGCATTGGAGACTATCATGAGCTAAATTTATATTAAAGAACTGGTAGTTTTGGGTCCAAAATATAAACATACCATCTGGTGGTGGAATGTGATCATAGAAAGGGAAAACATTAGGCAGTCATCAGCCGATTGCTTTTTTCACTTGATTATGACTTAGTTTATGCCTAATCACATATACTGAGGTGGGTACAGTGTACACTACTAGTCAATTTTTTTTTTTTTGCAACTAAAGGCTGAGTGTGGATATATGATGACAGGAAACTCTCTCTCTCTCTCTCTCTCTCTCTCTCAGGATTTCTGCTAGTTCATTTTCTTTCAATTATGCCTTGATTTCTGATTCATTTCTAGTTCTTTCATCTTTGCTAATTTCTTCTACTGTGTCGTTGCATTTTATCGTACATCTGTTGTCTCTTTATCTTCAAGCTAGTTTTTTATCTTCAAGAAGAACTAACAATGTAAAAGTACCAATATCACTAGTTTTTAATTTCTCACTTTTATAAATCTATTAAGACATGAAGTGATTTCGTGTAGGAAATTAGTGAATAATTGTAGAAATTTGGACTGTTGACAGTCTTGTGCCTTGGCTTTTTTCCTTCTAAGATGCCTTTGCCTCATACTTTTAGATTTTGATTACTTTCTGTTTTCTTTTTTATTCCCTTTGTCTCGAGATATAAAAATCTGTAGTAAAAATAATTATATAAAATCAAACACAACATTCTAGTAAGAAAGTAAATATTTACATGACAAAAATGCAGCATGTTCTTTACAAAATAAGACAGTAACATCTCAAACACCTCTTGAAATATGAACCATGTGTATAGTTTGTGCCATTAGCATTACAAACATGAATCAACAGATCACTCAACACCAATAATGTATTATAACAGATTATTAACATATTATATTTCCTAGTGCTGAATAAAAAACATCTAGCAGATGAGGAGTTGGAGAGTAGAGCATTAGAGAACTGATTGGCCATGATAGGAGAAGTGTCACATGTACTAGGAATAATTTGCCAATGCCTGAACTCTCCTCTAAAACCTCTTGATATGCTGCCACTCTTGTAACATCAAAAGGATTTGACCCCATTATAGAGAGAGAGGGAGAGAGAGAGAGAGAGAGGTGTACTAAGTAGCCTCTTAATTAGGAAGGGGAATTTTTAAAATTAACTGGGAGTTCTAGGCAGTTGTAGGGAGTTCTTTAGAATAATGTGTTTACTTGAACATTTACCCTTAAATGAATATAGAAGTAAAAGGATTTTAATAATGCATAATTTAATTTTCTTTGGATAGTTTAGGGAAATGAAAAATATACACAAAATTAGTGTTGTACTATTATATATTAGAAAGATGACATGCTTGACAACTGAAGTAAAAACGAAACTAAAGCTATTAAAAGTACACATGATGATAATATATATGCATCAATTATGAAGTGCACAATGCTCTAATGGAGATGCCATTAAATAAGCAAGTAGCAATTAAATCTAAAGAAAAGGTCCAACAAAAAATTGCATCAAACAAAATGATCTATGAATTTCTTCTATTTTCATTTTTTAGACTTGAAAAAGCCTATTGCTGTCATTGCAAGAAAGTCGCGAGTTGGGTCTTCTAGGAATGAGGTCAAAACCGTGACTTCGATCCTCACTGCTCGAAGTAAGGTTGTTAGTGTGGACTTCTCTCAATTTTAATTTCATCATCAATTCTTTCCCCTCTGTACATACTTTTTCTATTTGTATATGTATATTATTCCTTGTTACTTAGTAGACATTGATGCAGCAGATGTTGATAATGAATTGGCAGCCTGAAATCAATTCAAAGATGAGATCAATTCTCATAGACTGGTTGACAGAGGTTCACAGGATGTTTGAACTAATGCCTGAGACCCTTTACCTCACAATTAACATAGTTGATCGGTACCTTTCAATGAATGTTGTCCCAAGGAGGGAGCTTCAGTTGGTCGGCATTAGTTCAATGCTAATTGCTTGCAAGTATGAAGAAATTTGGGCACCAGAGGTAATTGGTGTTCTGTTTTCATCATTTAGAACCATGTCTGATCTAAAAATTGTTTGGTTTCACTGAAATTTGGGCACCAGATTTGATTATATTAAATCTGGAACAAGCAAGGAATATACATGTTCTTATTAATGGTGATTTATGTCTTCATGCTTTTGATAGAATTTATTGCTTTGTTCTAGATTTTCTTTAAAAAGATTATAATTTACAACTATTATTTATTTATCTGTAGGCCAAAAGGATAATTTTGCTGAGGAAAAGAGCTGATTCAAGATGCAAGAGGAATTTGCAGCTTTTTTTTTTTTTAATTACCCACCTTATACTTGCAAAAGAAAAAAGGAGGGGGAGCGGGGTTAGGGGGAATCAATAAACAATGGAACAGGAGAAAAAAAAGTTACACAAATATAAAGAGGTGCAAGTTGTGTTAGAGTTCGCCTTGCATGCTATCACATGATGAGTTGTACCCATCATATTTGTGTAATTTGCTTTGTATTCTACTTGAGAGGGTAATTTATACTTATAAATTGGGCTGAGCTGGGTAATGAGCCACGTTGCGAAGGACTGAGTAAAAAGGCCATGAAGTTACTCCGGCCCAAGAGAGATGTAAAGTTACTCCGGCCCAAGAGAGGTATAAAGTTACTCCGGTCCGAAAGAATCTTGAGGATTACTCCGGTCTAAAGAAAGCTTTGAACATAGCCCGGTTGCCGTACTCAAAGTTAGCCCGGTCTTGGCTTACCGAGGTTATCTTGGCCAGAACCTTGCTGTTTGATAGCTCGGTCTGATCACACTATGGTTGGCACTAGGAGAAACCTGGGTAAGAGCAATGAATGGAAGAGCCGAACTAAAGTTAGCTCGGTCTAGTCTACGGCTTAGCATAAGCCATGCTTACCTCGGTCATAGTGGAATCCGACCATGGTAAAACCATCTCACTTGGTTTAAGCAGTGAGGAGGGTGTTGAAGGATAAGCATTATCTTTCAGGAGTATGAATCCTAGGAGGACTCTACATGGAGGAGTAAGAGTCCTACTTGGATTGTGCCACACGGAACCTATTAAAGCTCACAAATATCACCTATGGGGAGGTAACACAACTTTGATACACAGAGCTTTTTGTCTACTTGTCTATTTTGCTGACTTAGGCATCGGAGGGGTTTCCAGCACACACCCGCCGGCTAGCTCACGTTTGTGTTTTCAGGGAGTAAAGCGACGACGTTTGGAGGAGCGCAGATTTGATCAACAGGATTATACGAGAAGGTTTATTTCTTTCCCGTATACCACTATTAAGTAATTCCTCTTAAAAAAATTAGAAAAAATTACAAATCAGGTATAGTTTCAAAAATAATTACATACTAATGAAAGAATTTATGACTTTAATAATTAAAATTTGTAAACTTTACCATTAATCTAAGGGGAAATTACCAGGAAGTCTTGTTTGAAAAACGTGTAGTCTATTTAGTCCCATAACTTTATGCTTATACCCAAAAGTCCTATAACGTTATTCTTCTTCTTCTCTGCCTCTCTTCTTCTTTGTGTCTTTTGCTCTTTGTGTTTTCCGGCGATCTTGCTTCTTCTCTTTCTCTTTCTCTTTCTCTTTCCATTGGCGACCAACGACTACCATCGATTCGGATTCACCGACAACCACCGACCACCGACTACTTACTTCACTCTCACCGACAATAAGGAAGATATGTTTCCGACGAAGAAGATGAGTAGATTTACATCAGATTTGATGTAGAACTACATCAGATCTGAGTAGTTCTACATTAGATCCGGTTAGATCTAAATAAAAAATAGTTGTCGGAGTACAATCCTCTCTCTATATTCGCCTCTCTCCTTCGATCTCTTATTTTTGTTACATTTTCTCTGTTATATACTTCTCTTTTTTCTGTTCTAATGGAGAAAATTTTTAAGTTTTAAACAAGTTGTTTTCGAGTTTTAGTTACAAGCGATGAAAACTGTAAAATTTTGCAGTTTCAAATTTTTTTGGTGCTGTGTAGATTTACATTAGATTTGAGTAGATTTACATCAGATCCAGCTAGATCTAAATAAAAAATAGTTGCTGGAGTACAATCCTCTCTCTATATTCACCTCTCTCCTTCGATCTCTTTTTTTTTTTTTTTTTTTAACATTTTCCTTGTTATACACTTCTCTTTTTCTATTTTAATGAAAAAAAAATTTAAGTTCTGAACAAGTTATTTTTGAGTTTTAGTTACAGGCGGTGAAAACTGTAAAATTTTGCAGTTTCAAATTTTTTTGATGTTGGAATGAATCATGGTATAAAATTGTAAAATTTTACAGTTTCATAACAGTCTTTAGAACTGTAAAATTTTACAATTTCATAGCATATTTTTCAGTTTGATTAATAAGAATAAATACTTAATAGATTTTTACTTTGAAACTATAATATTTTACAGTTTCAAAACTTACTTTTCAGTTTGATAATATTAGAGATTATTTGCTTAAACCTTACAAAAATTGAAAAATAGCATATGTTTTTTCCATTGTTGCTGTTTTTTGTCGTTCTATTTTTTTTCTTTTAGTTTATCAATATTTAGCACATTTTGCTATATTTTTTCATTCTAATTTCTCCATTTATTTTTTTTCCCGGCGATATTCTGAAAATTTCGATGAGTCTCCAATGATATTCTTAACGTTCCGTGAACATTCGGAACATTCTGGGGACTTTCATTAATGTTCTTAACACTCCGGTGAACTTCCGGCGATACTCCGGCGACTTCCCAACAATACTCCGACGACTTCCCAGCAATACTCTGACGACTTTCTAATGATGTTGAATATTCCGACGAGTCTCTGGTGACTGTTTGATGGAAGTTTGACGGTAGTAGAATATAACAGCATCTGCAAATTGGAAAAAAAAAAAAAGGATTTTTTGGTAACAATTAAAAATATATAGGACTAATTGGTGTAAGTGTTTTGTTTGGGGATTAGATAGATTTTGAACTTTATATATGAGACTTATTGGTAAGTTCCCCTTAATCTAAAACTTTATTTTCAATCATACACTGATGGGTTGTTTCGCCAAAAAACAAAAAAAATTTACACCATGTCATAGTTGACCTACTAGTTCTTATTTTTACTTTCTTTGTTGTTTGTACATTAGCTCGTGACTAGGAGTGTAAAAATAAATTGCGATCTGTGTTTGGCTTGAAACCCGCCCTTCGTTCAGGGTGGGCCTTGCCCGATTAGGCCTAGGTGTGGGCCATCATTTTGAAGCTCGGCATGGCATATCGGTCCGCTCATGACCCGCTCAAAGTCCGACCCAGCTCGCTTTGCCAGCCTGAGGCCCATTGTCATTTTTGGTGAAAAAAATAAAATTTTGGTAAAAAGAATAGGGAAAAAAAAAAAAGTTCAATCCCTGTCCAAGCTTGAACCTAAGTCCACCGGCCCGCCCAGCCCAAGACCCGAATACCCCCTGGACTTGGACTTGGGCATAATTTTCTAACTCATGGACCGACACGATCAAATTTTAATGGAAGTCTGCGAGGCCCGACATAAACCAATCCAAGCCAAATTTACACCCTTACTCTTAACTAACCACCATTTTACTTTTACTTAACAAGTAGTATATATTTTATTATTAATATTTACGTTATTAAAGTTGATGATTAGTAGATTAGATTATTATAAGGAGCATGATTCCTCCCACCCAAAATTTGGATTGGAAGGTTTGTTTGAGTTTATGGAGGCTATAACCGTTTCATTTTAATAATTAAATAATTTATTATTGGATATTTTATTTATTTAATTCATAAAAAAATTAGGTTAATTTGATAATTTCAACTTGTTCAACTTATTTTTTTTGTCATCAAAAAAATATGTGGTTCATAACACAATTGTCATTTATTTTTTTAGTGAAAAACACGATAAATTAAACAAATTATAATTATCGAATCAACTTTATTTTTAAAAAAAAATAAAATATACAAAATACCTAACAAAATGAATATTTCGGATTATCAAATCAGTGCCCGTGACGGGTTTCACGGATCCTAACAACCTTCTTCATTGTAGATTTTAGACTGGAGTCCTTAAGAGGTTGTTTGAGAACTAACACAATAGCGTAACTTTTTACAAAATAACAATTAAAAGAAGAAAGAATAGAAAAAAGAAAACCAAATGCAACTTGTGTATTCATTTTTTTTTCTTCCTTTTTCTTTTTCGTATTTCAAAATAAAAACAATGAAAAGTTTGGGAATACTGATCTTCTCATATGGTTTTTATTTTTGTGTTTAATTCGAAAACAACTTTTTGATTCTATACATTTTTTTTATAAAAAAAAATAAAAAAATATACTTATTTGTCCTTCCCCACACCAATTTTAAAAGGGTAAATTATAAACACACCGCCTGAGCTTTATTTAAATTACAAATTACCTTCCATGGTTTTAGAAATTGTATTATGCCCTCTAAGATTTCTAATTTCATAACAAATATGTCATTTTATTAATAAATCATCAAGTTAATTAACAGTTTTTAATAATGTTAAAATTTTATTTCAATTAATAATTCAGATAATTTTATTATTGTATAGATGAACGGTTAGAAATTTTACCTTTTCAATTAATCCTGTTAAATAAAAAATTATGATAAGGAGATATTTGTAATTTTTTAAATTATAGGAGAGAATTCATATTTTAAACAAATCTTAAAGAATATATTTGTAATTTACTCATTTTATTAAAAATATACAATGTGGTAGCCTCAGCTAGAGAGAGTAAGGATTCCCTCCTTGACTCTCCTACTTAATTTCTTACTTGATGGGCCATTGAGCTGACTTTTGGGTCAAATTTTGATGATCCGAACGGTTCACATTTTAAAATTTGTCATGTATATCATACCTGTAAAAAATCAAGTCGATCGGATATCAAAAAAACTACGTAAACTAAAAGTTTTATTAAACAATAAAATTGTACATTAAAATTTTTTAATAAATAATTTTTAATTCTTCCGATATTTGATCAATTTAATTTTTTATAGATATAATATATGTAACAAATTTTAAAATATAAACTATTCAAATCATAGAAATTGAACTTAAAAATACACCC